ACTTTAGATTTGGGTGCATAGCACCTTGTATTGAATCTACCCAGATCTAGATATAACCCTGCCTCATCAATTCTGGATTTAGATTTATTAGGCCTAACTTTTAGAACAAATTTTACATCTAGATCTATTAACTTAGTCAATAGATCTGTCCCAGTGCAATGCCTAGTTTGATATTTAGTATAGGTCTAAGCATACCTATAATATAGGCTACAATTTGTATGATGATGGACCTATGGTCTAGAAATAGAGTTATAACTGCAATTAGACCTAATGTCTAATACATTAGTTGGTGTAAGACATTATTTACAATCAGCTAATACAATTACAAACCACTACATTAGGCCTATAATGTTTACTAGATCTAGATCTTGCCTGTTTTATATATTGCCAATCTTGCACACCAGTTAATATGTTACATCAATTTCGTATTTTCTTTTTTGTTGAACATACACTTACTTGTATGTTGTACTCTAGGACTTGTATTTGATCTACAGATGAATGATGGAATAGTGTAATTTACTTCTATAGATCAATTCGGTCTCACTAATTCAATGGGCGGCTTTTAGAAATTAAAACTGCAAGCATAATACACACAAATAACGTAACACTGTGTCACATTTACTTAACGTAGGGCAGTTGTGCTATATCCTAGGGGAGGGTTATTATTCATTAATAGGCATTATAGTCCAGAGGAAATTTTGCACCCCTTCACACCTGCACCCAGGGGCAACTGCATCACCCCCTCTTGCTACACCACTGACTGTACCACAAGGAAAACTTGTATATCTAGAAGGACTTTGTTAGCTGTATTTCTTAATTGTAGTTCCAATAAGACTTCATGTGAGCTACAGCAAATTATGATGAATACATTTCTTAACTGTAGTTCCAAAAAGACTTTAGGTGAGCTACAGCAAATTATGATGAATATATTTCTTAACTGCAGTTCCAAAAAGACTTTAGGTGAGCTACAGGAAATTATGATGAATATATTTCTTAACTGTAGTTCCAATATAATTTCAGGTGAGCTACAGCAAATTATGATGAATATATTTCTTAACTGTAGTTCAAAACGACTTTAGGTGAGCTACAGGAAATTATGATGAATATATTTCTTAACTGTAGTTCCAATATAATTTCAGGTGAGCTACATGAAATTATGATGAATATATTTCTTAACTGCAGTTCCAAAAAGACTTTAGGTGAGCTACAGGAAATTATGATGAATATATTTCTTAACTGTAGTTCCAAAAAGACTTTAGGTCAGCTACAGGAAATTATGATGAATATATTTCTTAACTATAGTTCCAAAAAGACTTTAGGTGAGCTACAGGAAATTATGATGAATATATTTCTTAACTGTAGTTCCAATATAATTTCAGGTGAGCTACAGGAAATTATGATGACCTATCTATGGCCTTCAAAAAGTGGATGACTCTACATGTTTCGACATTACAACATCATCCTCAGGATTGTAGCGTCAAAACATGTAGAGTCGTCAACTTTTTGAAGGCCACAGATAGGCCTAAATAAAACGTTTTTAATTGTGTACCAGTTTAACGTTGATTATTATTATTTATGATTTTAACTATGTGTAAAGTCAAGGAGTTTAAACAACAGCTTATACCTGAGCAACAAATACAAATAAGCATTATCAACAGTGTAAAAAGATCTGAAATGCACATGTGCTGTTCCTAACTTTAGTAGCACAGCTGTGCAGGTACTTTGATTTCTTCTGAAAAAAATTATGCTACACATGTGTTAACAACAAAAATAGAGTGTGTCATGATGTACAGTGTACACTTCTGTGTACATAATACAAACTCACAAAAAACAACAGAAAATGTTAAATGAAAAACTGTTCCAAACCATACACAGTGCTATAGCTGGTGTCAAAAGTACTACTGTATGTACAGTACAAGCATGGAAAATTAAATAAAAAATTATTAGTAAAGCACTGTTCAAAACTCAGTGCTATTACTAGTGTCACAAAACTTGTGAGTGCATTCAGGTACACCATATTAACGAATGATAGTACATTACAAACATCCACTGTACTTAATGAACCACGTTTTGTTTGGAAAAAGCAATTTTATATTTTTGAATGCCTGAAGTACATGTATTTCTTGTTGTCTGTACACATATTGTTCTAAGTTATCATTTTAATGTTATAATTTAAATGTTAGCTAGAGGGAGCTATGGGTCTTAATAATGATCAGATAACAAGATTTAATAAGATAGGCTTAGAACACCTAGTGAACTCTACGGATGCAACGTAAAGCACTCTAGCATATTCAAAGCCAGATTATAAATACAAGATACTTGTAAAGTGTGTAGAGTTTTATTTCAAGATGAAGAGTAAACTAGCCAGTAAGTTAGCTGTCAGTGTTACTCTGTCCAAGTAGATTTATTTTACATTAGTTAACATCATTTGTAATGTAGGCCAACGGAAGCATTCAAGTTAGTAGAAATGTTAAAGGAAGAAATAAAGTAATTTATTACTATTAAGTGAGCTTGATGTTGAATTATTTTCACCAGACAATTTAAAATAACCTGCCAGCAAGAGAACAATGCTCCAACAACATAATATATACACATACATACACACAGAGAGAACAGGAAATACATGTGCTTCAGTCACATAGAGAAGAAAAAGAATTCAAATTGAAAAAAAAAATTATTACAAGATGTTGTCTCCTAAAAATCCATTGATAAAATAGTGAAGAAAATACCTGAAGTTTATCTCGAAGCATACTGGCTGTTGAAGCAACAGCTGAAGCAGTATCATGCTGGACAGTCTCAGAAAATTCTGTCAAGTCTCTCTTGATGAATTGAAATGCTGTTGCTGCATCTTGCTGAAAGGTTTCAGTGAACTCTGTAATGTCCTTTTTAACTGAAGTCAAAGCAGCTGATGACTGAAAAACAAAAGTTAGACAAGGTTAAAACATATGTACACTACAAACATTGTGAATTTATGCATACTTTTAAAGCCTTAATAAATCACAATTTTATAACCCAAAGAGCACTATAATTTAAATATATCAGTAACTCAACTACATTACAACTAAAATTTACCTGTAATAAGCTCTGAAGAGATTCAATAAACTCGAACAGTATAGTCAAGCAACAATTAAGAACAAAGCCTATACTGATAAAATGGTTTACTAGTTTTTACTGCAAGCCATTTTGTTTTAGAATGAAAATGAGGATGTATTAGAAGTCAGGTGGTCTCTCTGATACAAAACTTACTCATAAGATAGAGAATGCAAAAGAGCAGCTAAACAAGAACATGGTAACTACTGTTAAAGCTAAAAAGCTATAGCACAAAACATTAATTCTGACTTGAAAAATGTTATGCAATAAGAGAGTTTATGTTTTTGAAAGATTCTAATCAGAATATTCTTATGAAAGGATGGAATATTATTAGTTAATGTAAAACTAACAGGTTGTCAGTACTTATTAATTACTAAATAATTTAGCTTAAATGTTATAATGTACTTATAAAAAACATAATTATTTCTCTATAGGAATCATTAATAATGCCTCAAGTTGAATACTGTCTACAGTTTTTATCTCCTTACCTAAAACGGATATTGACTTACTGGAAGAAGTTTAAAGGAGGGCTATAGGATAGGATACAATAAACTAAAAGGTCTTAAAAACAATGTGTAACTTACACATCAGATATATCTAATGTGTTGATAACACTATTTTCTTTAAAAAAAAGGATTTTAGTTGTGAATAAAAATACTGGATTAAAAAAGCATACAACAACATAAAAAAATATTACAAGGCTATTCAGTCTCTCAAAAGCACTACTTACCCTTAAAAACAGGGGAGGAAAAAAAAAACATAATCGCATTAGTAAACCAATTATCCATTTAGCAAGCTAACGTAAGACCAAAATACTTTGAGCTGCAGTTTGACTCATTAAAATATTATTATTGATGAATTAAACAATTTTTGCATTAGTGATGTTAACACTTTTGACCTGAAAATGTATTTCATATAGATATTCACATCTCTGCACAACAATGTGCTACTACCTCGTGTAACTGCCAAGAAGACTTTTGAGCATGCCACAAGCTTTGAACCAAGTTCCCACCCATACATGTATTAATGTTGTATCAGCCTATGATGCAATCATCATTACACTACAGCTCTCTACCAACAGGAGAGCAACAAAAGAAGCAGAGGAAAGTGTCGGGTGGACTCCAGTTTGGAATGAGCCAACAGAAGCCAATCGTCCATTTAATGGTCGAAGCAAAACCCTAAAGCATGCATAAGTCCAGCAAAAGCCTTGACCACCTGATAAAATACATACGGTGCTGTAGCAAGACAAAAGGTAGAGTGCAAAATGATAAACCACCCCATGATGAACAAACCGAAGGTAGTGTCTCAATTGTCGAGATACAGGAATATGGAAATAAGCAATCGAGACATTGGTCATCCATAAGCCTGGAGAAAAAGCCCACCTGATGGTGAGAAATGATTCTATGATAAAATGAGGTAGCACCAAGAAGCAATTAAGGCATGACAGATCGATCACAGGCTGCTAATCTCTGGTTTTCTTGGGGACAACAAACAGCCTGGAATAAAACCCCAGAGAAGGGTGAACCGCAGGTTTGATGGCATTCTGAGAGAGAAGATCCTGTACTGCCTCAAACAAACATTGACATGTGGTAGAATCCCGAGGCAAAGGAAAAGAAATGGGTATTAGAGACAATGGAGGAGGGGAGAGGAAGTTGATGACAAGTCCTTCAGATAAATCTTGAAGGACCCATAGATCCCTGTTTAAGTCTTATCCAAGAAGAACAAACTGGGAAAAATGAGCCTTACTAGAAGGAAACCAACAGGGTAGTCACTGATGCTGTTGGCAGTGTGACACTTGGTGTCACATAAGATGACGAGAAGAAGATCCCCTAGTGGATAGAACATGTAAGGGATGGGGAACAGAAATTGGGGATGGTCAAAGCTCCATGGGAGACAAATGATCAGCTAAAAAGGAAAGAGTCAATTTGTCTCACAGATTCCACTTGGGATTTCAAAGTCACTGGAAGATCTCCAAACACTAACTTATAAAGAAAAGGGGCCAGGAATAAGTCCCTAAGATAAGGAGATGGCAAACAAACGTCAGACAAAACTGCATCTCTCCCAAAAAAAGAATCCTAACAACAAAGAAACCAGATGTGTAAAGAAAGAATTGAAGTCAACAAACATGCCAACAAGGATGTAATGAGGGCAAATGTATCCCCTGAAAAAACCCTCGGGATCTCTGTGGATTGCCTTGGAAAGGAAATGTATGGTGGACAAGAGCTGTAGTATAGACAAAAGATAAGATGAAGGTGAGAAAATTGGGCTTGGGTAAAAAGAGCAGGACAATCAGGGTCTGCCCCCCAAACGAGTAAAATGGATTCCAGTTGCCGAGAATCAAAGAACAGAAAATCGGCCTGATGGTAGGCTAAAGCAAACTGATCAAAGCTAGCAGAGGGCAAGGGCATGCCAGAGTCCTCATATAACTGTGGTACAAAACATTCAGCATGAACTTCTATATCAGGAGATGGTGGAAACACAGGCGAGACTGATCATTATTTGAGCCAGCCTTCTTCTGCTGATGCTGCCCAAGTTTTTCCTGAACAAGCCGAACCTGTTCGAAGCATTTGAAGCACTGAATTTGCCATGTCATCCCAAGGTCCAAATATGTGTTCTGTTGTGCCTAATATGGCTTTTTTGGACATGATTTTCCAGGTATGTTCTTCTTTATCCTTCTTCCTGATTTCGTATATTACTCTACCATCCTTGTTATCTGATATTTCTTCCTCTCAGTATTTTTATGTTTTATTTAATGCTATCTTTGAATTTTTATGTCGATTATTTTAAGTTGTCTCTTTATTTAGTTTTTATTTGTATCTCATTCAGTCATAGTATACTATTTAATTTTCTACCCAGCCGTATGACGTAATCATTTTTCCTTGCTTTTCTTTCTTTACCAACACAGTTGTGTTTGGTTTTCATTTACTTTAGGAATACTGAAATGCAAGTTGCCACATTGGAGATCGTACTTTCTCTCAGCACATTTACTCAGGCTTCAGCTGGGGGGGGGGGGGACTTGAATTGAAAATTATCAGCAATTTTTCATCCATGAGCATTGCCAAAAAAGAAGTGACAGGTAGAATAGCATAGAGGAAGTCACAAGTCTCGTGCATGTGTGGCATATCTATTGGTGGAGGTTTGTCACATGATAATTTGCAAACAAGAATCAGTTAAACCATGTGAACCAAGGGGTATGTGGGAATGAGAGGTTTGTGGCATGAAAACAAATTTTGCAAATAGAGGGCAACACCGAACAAGAATAGCTATGTATGTGAGCAGAAGTAAGGTATCTTGTTGGAAATGTATTTCCAAGTAGATACTTACATCTCTGCATACACTAGCTATTTCTCACATTTGCTATTGAGATTTTACACATGCATGCAGCCTTCAACTATCTCCCACTAAAGTCATATTTTGATGTGAACTGTATTAGTACAAGACGTAATCATCATGCAGAAATAGCCCTGTGCCAATGAGAGGGTGAAACATCTTTTTTGTGCAGTAGATTCCCATAAACACTCGCACTCAAAATTAACTTTATTCTTCAACAAGGCAAGCATAATGTGCATTGGGAAGGTGTGCAGAGAGGTAAATAGTCATTGCAAATACATTTGCAGGTAAGGAAAATGCTAACATCTGAAATGTTCCATTTACCTCTCTTCACACAGTAGCTAGAATCCCACACTGATGTTGTGGAAGGGTCAGTGCAAATGAGAAAACTTTGATGAGCTCCCTTCAAAGATGGTGTAACAATGGGAAAGTCCATAGAGTGTGGCATCCAGTAATGGGGGCTTACTAGAGGAGCAACAATTGTGGGAGACAACATCCTTTTCAGTCAGGGCATACTCATGCCCAGAGGAAAGTATTAAAGAAGTTAGGCAAAAGGAGTTTGATTGAAGAAAACACCCATTCACCTGCCAAGCAGTCCAAGCCTTGGAGAGAAAGGAGCAGTCCAGGAATAAAATCAACCTATTCCTATGATAGTGTGGGAAGTATCTCAAACAAATATTCAGTGACATCTCCCATAAGCAAAAAGGCCCTGAAGATATCACTAACAACCAGAGAAAAAGTGACTGAACTAATTCAAACTCAGAGCATCCATGCAAAAGCTGGGAAGTTTAGGGCTGGAGATCAAAAGAGTAGAAGCTTGGTGCTAGGTGAGTCTGAAAGGCAGAGATGAAAGGACAGACCATTCTATGGGAAGGATCTGGTCTCAGAAAAATAGCCAATCCACCATCGGGGTCAAAGCACCTAAAATATGATACACCAACAACCAAATGTGTAAGTTGTTAGACCAAAAGAAAAAGTCTAGACAAAGGAAAGCAGTGGTCCCAAGGTTGAATACTCTCCTGTCAGTGGATGGAAGAAATGACAGAGTAGGTGTTTGAAAGGAAAAGAACAAGGAAACAAGACACAAGTCAGAATATGATGGCATGCTCTTTGAGCAGCTAATATCTCGGACACTGATAGAGAAAGTGCTCCTCTTGGGACCAGACTCCTGAAATATAGCAGATGACCAGAACTGCATCCCATCTGAACAGAGAAGCACTAGATGAGAGGTTTTGTTTGTAGATTTGATTGTTGTCATGTGCAAGCTTCCACAATGTACCACTTGTCCTGTGTTTACCATGGATATGGAAACCCAAATATCTGAGCACAGGCCCTCATACATACTGCTAAGCTATTGAGGGGCTCCAAACAGATGCAAGTCCAGGTGAGTTGGGAGAACAGGGATGCCCAGGGTCATGTAGCATCAAGTGAGCCACTACAACAGCAAAAAGTGATAAGGAGGAGGGAGAGGCATAAGAGAAAACAGTGGATC